ATTTAAGGTTTCCGCGCGATGATTATCTTTAATTGACAATTTAATTGAGGCCGGCGGGGATCGAACTCGGGTTTGTTAGTAATGTAAAATTTACGGCAAGCACTTAAACCTTTAGATTCATAATTCTGCCCCTGATCTTTATATGGAAATAATAAGGCTTAGCTTTCCATTGACTCCCGTCGAGTTGGGGGTTGATACGTATTTTTACAGAAAAGTTACACTATTATAAGCACACACACAAAGTTACAGCATGTGGAAACGCGTAATTTTTGAGAAAAAAGTTATTGAAAATCAATTATTCTTGCATTGTTTATATCTAATCATATCATAAAACTGACGCCATTTTGTTATGTCATTGTCGTCAGTAGGGATGTCGATTCTTTCCGAAAAGGGTCGATTTTTAAATCGATTGAAATCGTAAGCTGATGTATCGATTCATAAAAAATCGATTTCTAAAATATCTATATTTTTTTATGTTTGCATTTATAATGTAAATATAATTCCATTTAATATATATATATAGTAGGCGAAACCTCAATAAAGGCTACTACTTTTAACATAGTACAGCCCTTAGTGTGAGGTAGTTGATACCGCTATGATCTTATTCTTTTTCGGTTGTCCATTGTATCTGTCGTCCTGCCGGATATGGTAATCTGCCGTTAATCTTCACGCTTGACGAGTTGATACCGCAGTATTAGACGTCTCGTACTTGTGACCCTGCTTCTCGCTGGTGACGGCTAGACACAAGCCCACTTATTTCTGAGAGGGTTTTAGGGCAAGAAAATATGTACCACGCGGCCCCAATGGTGTGGTTTCATATGACTTCTGAATATTTTTATTATTTTCTCAGAGTTGCAGCTTACTAAACGATATTTTTTTCATCACCGAGGACGTTTTCGCAGTAAGTCAGCACTTAAAATAGCAATTAACAATTCCATTGGTGCTAACAGGGATTGAACCCGGGTTGCTAGCGTACTGTCTAATTTTGTTCAATCAATTTTGATTACATTTATTAAATTATTACCTGGTCGGCGGTGAAGGGAAACATCGTGAGGAGACCTGCATCACAGAACACTATTACTCCTACAGAGAGATGACCTGCATTTTTATGGGATAGGTGACAAACGAGCACACAGTTCACCTGATGGTAAGTGGTTGCTGTGACCCATAGACATCTACATCTATCCTGAATAAAGAATCAAAATGCTGATGCGTTGTCACCCGTGAGTTACGACAATAATACTCTCTACCGAAAGTAAAATAAATAAATCTAATAACATGAGAGCAACGCAGGCGACCGACTGACCCATATACCTCTCAGAAATGAAAGGGGGCCTTTCACCAGCGCTGGGACGAAAATTGGCTACGTTCTATTATATCTATATACTCCAATTCGGGTTCGATCCCCGCGGGCACCAATTAAATTATTAGTGCTGATTTACCACGTGGTGAAGGAAACATCGTGAGGGAACCTGCATGTCTGAAAAATAAGAAAAAAAATATTTCGAAGACATATGAAGTTCGCCAACACGCATTGGGGCAGCGCGGCGGATACTTCCTTGCCCTAAAACCCTCTCAGAAATGAGAGGAGGCCTATGCCCCAGCAGTGGGAAGTATGTAGGCTGTAACTTTATATTCATAAATGTCGTAACAGTGTTGGGTAATAATTTGTGTTTATTTTTTTTTTACAAAAGGAAGTGTGGAATAAATTGTTGGAGATTCCTTATGGATCCACTCATACTTATGGCGATTTAGCAAAAGCCTTAGGTAGACCAGCAAATCACGCAAGAGCCGTGGGTGCTGCATGTGGTGCTAATGCTCATCTACTTGTTATACCCTGTCATAGACTAGTGGCTACAGGCTCTAAAGGAGGATTCAGCAGCGGCGTGGATAGAAAAGAATGGCTTATACAACATGAAAAGAGATTTGGATCAGTGTAACTAAGAGAAGATTTATCAGAAAACCTAGACTCATATTTATGGATGCTCTGTTCAAAGCACCATGTGTGACAACGACTTTAATATAAATGCTAAAGAAAATAACACCCATTATTAGAATTTGATTTTTAATAAAGATCGAATATTTGTTTCATTTTTTGCATAGCAATATTTTTAGAGAAATGCCCCATTATATAAATGCTTTAAAGATTTTTTGGCCAATAGTTAATTGTCATAATGTATATTATGTTTTACTTTTAATGTAGTGTAACATCCAGGGTCAGATTTAGAGGAAGACAGGAAGAGCCCTCACAATAAAAGTATATTTATTGGGTAAAATTGATTAACAAATAGGGTTTTTATCAAAATCATTATGACAATACAATTTAGTTTAATGTTTACTACTCCTTTATTATATATAAGTATAAATTTTGTTATGCAGTTCATATTGAAATAAGTCAATAAAACATTGTTTTGTTACAGAAAAGAATTTAGTTTATTAGTTTATATTTTTGGTATTTCTTGGTTTTTGATTTATTTTTAGGTTATGTTTCTAATATTTCGTAATTTATATTATAGTGTTTACTCTTCTTGTGAAGCATGTTGTGGCTGCCTTTAATAGGTTTTACATTTAAAAATTAAACGTATATATTATATTTTGTGAACATGTATTATTGTAATTACCTCTGGCTGTCCTTAAAGAAATAAAATAAAATAAATAGTCTTATTTGAAAAATAATGTTGGGGCATCTGCTTTTTACCTATATAGTCTCAACATTTAAATATATATATATAATTAGCAGTATCGGTATGGGGCAGGGTGGTGGCGGGGAAAGGGTTATGAGACGGGCGAACATTCAGGGATCGGGGCATCAGTGTCAAATGTCAGGTTGGTGCCACGAGGCCGTGCAGTGGCTTCCCCTCCTGATAACTTCCCGATGATTCCAGTGCTCTGAAGCACTCATAGCTATGGGTTATGTTGGCCTTTAGTATGACATCTTGATATGATGATATCATAGACGTAATCCAAATTACAATATATACGGCTAAATGTCTGATTTCAGAATTCCCAAGCTCTTAATAATCTTCATACCTTTTTTCCAAACTGTTTGTTCTTTAGGACAAAGGAGAAGTTATATCCATCATGATGTGAATAGGTATAGAATCATGATGATAATAATAATCTGAAATTTTAACTACACTTAAAAACTAGATGATAGGATTTATTTTCTGCCCAGGAGTTGGTCTAGAACAGAATAATAATAAAAAATAAATATCCCCCATAGATTGCCTCATAGATATTCATGTATTCACCTGGGATGGCAATCGCAGTTCTTTTGCATTATTTATATATTATCAGGCAAATGCTGCAGTTTCATTTTCCTCTTTTTTTATAGAATATGAGTTACAAACGAGCATAGTTCACCTGATGGCAAGTAGACGTTGCGGCCCAAAGACATCTAGATCTATCTTCATCATCTTTCTTCGTCATCTTCACTGAATTAAGAATCAAAATGCAGTTGTATCGTCACACGGATAAGATGGAATGCCTCATTTTTAGTAATAAGGGTCTGCGGTTGTCTACACTCACCATACGAAACACATCAGTAAGTCCGCCTATACATCATATTGTATGAATTTTAAATAAATAAATATTTAAGCTGCTATTTTACGTTAGTATTCTGTGAGAACGTGGCCCTACCCCGGTCGAGCCGACCCATTCGTGCTTCAACCATATAGCTGCAGCGTGGCTCTACCACATATCAAACCTCTGTCGCTTCTTACGATACCCACGGAATGATATAGGTTAGTGGATTTTTATATGCTGCCACTACACATCACATAATTTTTTTATTGTACAACAATGGAAACATTTAAACACAGCATGGTAGCTATCAGTTCATTCCCAGATCTTATTATCAATCATGCATTAAAGAAGAGAGGCTAAATTTTCTTTAAAGTTTTCTTAAGAGTTCGGAGTTGGTAACAACACCCTCTTATCTTCAGCAATAAGCAGCAGTGGCGTTACTGCCGTGATGCGGTATGAAAGGTAAAAGAGCTGGTAATCGATTACCATCAGTTGGATTCCTAGCTCTTTTTTCCGTAATGTTGTATATACATAGGTATAAGAATGTTATTAATTCGATTGAATTTTTTATGAAAACGTAGGTATATTTGTTATTAATTTAGTTATAATTTATTATTATTATAATTTATCTGTTTTTCATAGAACGCCAGAAATTTTACAATCGTAGGTATCATTTCAGCTAGGTCCGATGATAATTGAAATCAGCCTTATAATTGTTATAATTTTTACCTTATAAATTATTTTCCCTAAATGTCTATTAACTAATAATCTCTAACTACTTGGAGGGAGACTAGGAGGTGGGGTTAGAGGAAGGTTTACTTAATAAAAGTGTAATGAAAACTTCAAGTTCAATTTAATAATATATTTATTAAAAATCGTTATTACCTGTACATGCCTTTCAAATACAACTGAGATAAACATGTGAAATAAATGCTATAAATAGGTATGACATACTGGTACTACACGATCGTTCAACAGCAAACGTTTGCCCAAATTGCGCGACTGTTTAGACCTTAAACGAGGCTTTCGTATGTACAGCGCAATCTAAAAAGTAAATCTTTGTGCAAATGATGATTTAACGTTATTGACGCCGAATCGCCGATCACAGTTCGCGTAAACAATCACATTAACTGCTGGAGCGTTCGTTTTGGGACTGGAACGATTGTGTAGTGTAGCATTATAATAAATAAACAATAATTTGGAATACACATATGCATTATTTCTCCATATAAAACTGCATAATATACACTTATATGTTGAATTATATACAACTCACGTTTGGAGAGAATATGCACAACGGATATTCGTATTTAAGGGTAGCCCTTTGGTAGTTACGGTTGTTGATGGGGCTATACCGCCTCTGCAGCGCATCGGGGATGTACATTGGTAATTTTTATATGCTGCTAACACTTTACTAATATAATATGAGTCTATAAAATTGAAATAAATCAATAAATAAACAGTATGTAGGGACATTACATATGACCTTGTCGACTGAGTTTGTAATAGAGTCCTTGCATCTGCATGAGTTGTGCGTGCGTGCCGCTCTCCGCGACGCGGCCGTCGCGCAGCACACAGATGCGGTCTGCGTCGCGCACCGTGCTCAGGCGGTGTGCAATCATCACGCACGTGCGCCCCGCTTTTGCAGCGTCCAGCGCCTCTTGCACCACCTTCAAACAATCGTTGAATCATTATACCATTTGTATAGGCTGCAAAAGAGAATACACCTGTTTTCAAAGTGCAAAACACACCCGCACATTGTGCACACTGCTAAATAAGTGCAGTGAGTATGGACAAATCCTTAAAAAAATGCGTTATTAGGTGTATTTGTCACTGTTAAAATGTCTACTAGTAGATTCTAAAAACCAATCTAGAAAAAACGATCTAGCATTGACTATTGACAATGATCTGCTTCAATAACAAATAAACCGGACACTTCGCTATAATACGGGCAATGTTATAATTAAATATTAAAAATTTTGCACTACCGACTTCAATATAAATTATTAAGAATAAGTCAATAACTATTGGCCAGACCTTGATCAAATTTATATGGGACCACATGTGAAGCACCTGCTTTCAAAAAAAAAGAATCATCGAAATTGGTTCAACCAGTAAAAAGTAATACACATAAAAAAAAAACATACAGTCGAATTGAGTACCGGCACCTTTTTGAAGTCGGTAGAAAATAGGGTTGTTCGATAAAACGGGCGTTTGAGTAGGAACTCTTAATATGTTGTTTTTCACATATTCACCTTTTAGTAAAATACACTTAAATGTCTCTTTTCAAAGCTTAATATTCTCATATAATGGCCTCCTCATCCTCAAAATCTAACATGTACTGTAGAGATTACTGCGAATTATCTTTAAAAAATCTGTTCTCTGAGATACTTCTTCAGATCTCGGAAATTAGAAATAATTAAGCTCAAATTTCAAAGCCAGCACGATTCTTGAGCCGGGTGTAATTTTGATGATTTTCTTTGCGCAATTGTTTTGTTCTGCATATAAAGTTTCTCAGAAAAGAGAGCTCATGAACTGACTGGTGAAAAGACTCGCCTTAAATTTGTTAGTAGCTGAAGTTGATGGTATGTATTTTAACTAAGTCATACTGTAATTTTGTTTCGAGATCATAGTAAAGCCACGTTTCGTCCATTGTTATAAACCCAAAATCTATTTGCTACTGAAATCAGCGTGATTTGTTTCTAAATAGAAATGTTATGCATACTACCTGTCGTAATCTTACTGTAAATTACTTTATCTCTTCAATTTATAAGAAAATACGGCATAATATTTAACTACTGGGTTTTTCACCAAGAACTTTGTTTTTCAATTGGGGCAACACCAAAAACATGACAGTTTTGACATTTAGTTTTTTGACCTATTTGTAGTAGAAGCTTTGGCAATTGCTACATTGAATTCAATTTCGCTCGAAAATCGCATTAAAATAATTAAAATCCACTATGAAAATGGTGGTTCTGTTAAAGTTACGTTTCGTAAAATTCGTGATATTTTCGTACAACATAATCGTCCTTCTGAGACCGCTATTAAGAATTTGGTCGCTAAATTTGAATCGACAGGCTCGGTACAAAATGCGCCAACACCAACGCGTGTTCGACCGGGTCATTCAACCGAAAACATCGCAGCCGTGAGCCACAGTGTTGAAGAAGATCCAAATTTGTCAATTCCTCGACGTTCTCAACAATTGGGGTTATCCAAAACCACCACATGGCGAATTTTGCGTAAGGATTTGGCTTTGAACCCTTACAAGGTTCTACTGGTGCAGGAATTGAAGCTGACCGACCATTCACATCGCCGTAGATTCGCTCAATTCATTCAGGAACAGCCCGCTGGTTTTTCTGAAAAAATCATTTTTTCAGACGAAGCCCATTTTCACTTGTCAAGGTACGTCAATAAGCAAAATTGCCGCATTTGGGCTTCTGAAAATCCTAAAGCGATTATTGAGAAGCCTTTGCATGCTCAACGAGTCACTGTATGGTGCGCTATGTGGTCTGCAGGGCTATTCACAATCGTCTCGGAAAGCGAAATCGACTCGGATTCGATAACTTCTCGCACCGAAACCAATAAACGCTATTTAACACTTAACGTTCGGATAAAGGTCACTTAGATACATCCTATAACTATTGTATCGTCATTTAGTTACATGCATTTACGAATTTTGTAGATAAATAGGCTTTTGTATTTTTTTAGAGTAACGCCTAAACAAAAACATAAGGCAATATTTTGGTGTTAGCCATTGATATCGAATATAAAAAATATATAATTTAACTATATAATAAATAACAAAAAAACTGAGATATGTCTCGTTTCTGTCGGGTCTGGGTTTTTTTCTATGGGGCGTGACCGTACTTCTTTGACGTTTGTTTTCGTTAATTGTGACAGTTTGCATCGGAAACTTTACGAGAGCTCTGAGGCTGGCGAAAACTTTTCGAATATTGATGATTAGAAGAGATAAATAAACCCTTTTAATTATAAGGTTGGTAACAAAAATTAATTACAATTATCTATAAGACGTATTTTCATATAATTACTTCAATATTTGCACTTAATCGTAAAGCTGAATTTTTGTGAAAGGTGTGTTTTTATAAGTTTTCTATCACAAAGCAGCATATATATACTGCTTTTGTGAAACGAGACATATCTCAGTTTTTTTGTTATTTATTATATAGTTAAATTATATATTTTTTATATTCGATATCAATGGCTAACACCAAAATATTGCCTTATGTTTTTGTTTAGGCGTTACTCTAAAAAAATACAAAAGCCTATTTATCTACAAAATTCGTAAATGCATGTAACTAAATGACGATACAATAGTTATAGGATGTATCTAAGTGACCTTTATCCGAACGTTAAGTGTTAAATAGCGTTTATTGGTTTCGGTGCGAGAAGTTATCGAATCCGAGTCGAATTCGCTTTCCGAGACGATTGTGAATAGCCCGGCTGGAGGCGTGATTGGGCCGTTTTTTTTCGAAGATGAGGCTGGAAATGCGGTAACGGTCAATGGATCACGCTATCGCGAGATGTTAACATCTCAATTTTGGCCTATTATTGATGACATCGATATCACAAACATGTGGTTTCAACAGAACGGTACCACATGTCACACAGCCAACGAAACGATCAATTTATTGCAAACCAAATTTTCCGATCGCATAATTTCACGAAATTCAGCTGTTAAATGGCCAGCCACATCGTGTGATTTAACACCACTGGATTATTTTTTGTGGGGCTATGTTAAGGACAGACTCTATACGGAGCCAATCGAATCGATCGCGGCCTTAAAATTCAAAATCCGTGACGTGATTAACGAAATAGACACGCCATTTTGCCAAAAAGTGATTAAAAACTTTGATGAAAGAATCGACATCTGTCAGCGTGGTCGTGGTGGACATTTGCCAGATATCATTTTTCATTCATAATTGCGAAACTTTTCTCTTCGTAATACAATAAAAATTTGAATCATCTTCATCTAAACTCTTTGTTTTATTTTGTTTTAGAAAACAAAGTTTTTGTTGAAAAACCCATTACAATGTTAAACGTATTATCGTAAATCTTGTTTAACTTGTTATGTAGTAAGATTTTTCAGGCATACATTATAAAAATTCCTGTAGGTACTATGCACAAAAGTGCATTGTTCGATTTTTTTAATTTTCATAAATATACTTCAACAAACCGTAATGAAATAACTTCGATTTTCTTGTAAAATCATTAAAAAATATCTTTACGGAATCTTAAGGGAATTTTAGCTTTACCATCCAATATTCACTGTTTGACCAGTATCTATGTATGCATAGAATTATTACGCATAGTACGCAAGTAAAACTAACGCGAAACCGCGTAAGTTGACTCAGGGACGCGTCAGTGCGCAACGTCTCGTCTTACGGAGAAGAGCTCGCGAAAAATTGTAAAAAATTACCGTTTGTGTTGTAAAATATTGTCACAACGGTGATGATAAACATAAAAGAAGTGATGGAATTACATTACACATATAAGTTTATACATTTAATTCATTATAAGTACATAAAACTAAAAAAATACCTAAGCTCTCATAATACAAATGTTGCTAGTAGTGGGGAAAAAATCACAATTTTCTTTTAAAACTATTTATTTTCTATTTGTGTTTAAAACATTTAATCGCAACGCTCTGTGTAAAACTCAAATGTTTATATATAGATACCTACTTCTCTAAGTGTTAAGATTATATTAACAATGGGTGCCTATTTAAAACTAATACGGAGTGATCAGCTAATCGCGATTCGTCGACGCCATTTTAACGAAACTATTTTATTTTAATTGCTTTGTTTATTGACTAAGGCTACGTTTTAGAGTATAGAATAAAAACTTTTTTATTTATAATATCAAGAGATTATTAATAAGAACGCCTTTACTAACCAGATGTCACTTTACACCCAAACATTAACCAGATGTTACGTTAGACCCAAACATAGCCTATTTTAACCGACTCCCAAAAAGAAAGGTTATCAATATGTATGTACACTGATTTCTAAGCTTGATCAATTCGTATATACATGCTGAAATTTTAGTGGTTGTTGTCCCGCAGCCAAATTATACTGTCTTAATAGTAAAGTCAATTTATGAAATTAAAAAATATTACAATTAAAAAAGAGCAGATTTACAATAGTAATATCTCACAAGCCATTCGGGCGTCCAAACAAGTTTATGTCGTATCACTACGCTTGAGAGTTCATGTTATGAACATTTATTAGTGGCCCTTCACTGTGTAGGAAGCGCGCGGTAGTACGTACGATAGACGTAACACTACATTACGTCCAGCTAATTTTTTTTCAGATTTTATTACAGTAATTCGGTTTTCCTACTCGGTAAACCTACTTGCGAGATATTGCTATTGGTTTGAGATCGCATTCGAGTTTTGTTTTTCTCGATTGTAAAGGTGCCGTTTTTACATCCTAATAATTTTTATTTTAATAAATCTATTGTACTACTAAGGCAAAATCATTTTACTTCTGGAAAATAACCATTAAAATTTCAGCGTGTATATTGGATCAATCTGTGTGTATATCCTTTCAAATAAAAAAAAATTTAATCGGTTTAGAAATTTTTAGAATTCTGAGGTAAAAACATTAAAAAATACACCGAATTGAGAATTATCGGTTAAAATTATACATTACACGATGTGCTTATTGTATTCGAGCAAATTAATTGTCTTTAATAATATTCTTAAATTTTATTACGTCTGCATTTTTGTACCATTAATATATGTATAATAAAGTTATATTAGTACCATCATTATCGTGTTTATTATATTCCATTTTATATTCGCATAAAATACATCTTCGTACGTAATACGTAATCTTTATTATATCGATTTTTTTAAATTAATCGAAAAATAGGGATTAGCACATTCGATTGCAAACGCCAGAAACTGGTATCACTGAATGGCGTGTATGTGTGCGTGTGACGAGCGTAGGCACATTCGACTCGCGCCCACAAACATAATGACCTTGCGTCATTTTACCTGTCGTGTTTTCTACTAGACTGCGTTTCTATGTGTAATAATTCTATGTATGTATGCATGTATCAATGTAATGATATTTTACAATTCAGTTTTCCCCTACTTCCAGACGTCTAAAATCTGAAAGTTTTATATATATATTTAGAACCTATGAAAATACACTAATTTCAGGATTATGACGTAATATTTTCACTAGGATCATCACAGCTGATGATCAATGCTTGATGGTTAGGTTTTTTAAACTTTACATTATTTAAATTTCAAAAAATTTGTACCGATTTTCACTTTTTTGAAACCCCGTTGTAAAGCCTATATAAAATATTCTTGAAAAAACAATAAAGTTTAAAATTAGTTTTAACCTTTGCATAACCCCGATTTGTATTTATTTATATATTTTATTATAAAAATCATGGAAAAGAATGAAGGGGTATTTTCTTAAGCCGGATCCTGTACTAATATGGTCATATCGTCAAATAGTTTTTCACCGTTAGCGGCCCTGATAGCGTGTTTTTAACAGAAACAGATTTTCAACAGAAGCAACATCAGTTTATGCCTTTTTATATTTATATTATTTTAAGTAAAGACTTTAGAAATGTGTTGGGGGGGTGACTCGAACTTTAGACCTAGTCAGTTTGAATAGCCTACCATGTAAATAATGTTTATATAATAAATAAATGTTCGCGGCTTTGGGGTGGCTTTTGAACCAGTCGCACTCCAACCTTCTACAGCTGATATTACTAGATACTATAATTTTGACTTTCATAGTTTTAATGTAATATAGCGCCCTTAAATTTCTGATAAATAAACTAATGATAAGTAACTGATAAAATTAAAATTTTAGAATGCTACTGAATATTTATTCGTGCAGCGTCAAAAATTATGACACTTAAAAATATCTACACCGGTGGCCATTATCGGGATGATTTACCACAATTACTACGTTTGAAAAATTCGCTAACAACTGACTTGACTGACACTGGCAGACTTCTATCAAGAGAAGCCATAGTTTAAAAGAAGAAGAAGAAGAAATTGGCTAACAACACTGTTATACACAACACGTGTTTTTGTGTGCACAAAACTAAGATTAAAAGAGAAGCTCTTTAGTTGAATATATTGGGTGTTTGTTGGCATAGGTTTAATTTTACGAACTTCATATGTTATCACGTTATCTGATGTAAATAATTGAAAATGAAGTGCACTGTGAAATTTTATCTCTATTTGATGGAATAGTTCGCGGCATCGTTGGGTTTCTAATTACTAGGTACATATGGTCAACAATCGCATAAAAGATTTGTTTCAGTTTTTATGAATTTTATTTAAACAAATACAAGAGCCGTGTAGGTAGCTGTGAGATTTCATCACGGCAAGGGAGCATAACGTGTACGAGTCCTTTGAGGACAAATGAATCTGTTATGGGAAATCTTAAGTGCTGATTTACCACGTATCCGGTGAAGTGGTGAAGAGTAACTTCGTGGGCAAACCTAAATGTCTGAATAGTTAAAAAGTCGTGGAAATGTGAAAACCGTTATTGCGTATTGAAGCATTGCGGCATACTATTTTCTGCACACAAAACACTATAGGTAATGAGGAGCCCTGTGCACAGTAGTGTAAGCTGCTATTTTAATTTTTATACCTTCAATGAGATTTATAAATCAGTTTGTCATTTAAGATTTTTGTAGTTTTGTTGTCATATTATCAGACAAATCAAGATTTTTTGTGACGGTCCTGGTTTCATAGCTCACATGAGATATATAAATGAACAGGCTGTTGCGACAAAATATTTTAATTATCAAAGATAGCAGATTTTACTTAAACAAACATTTATTTTATTTTACTTGTCAGAGGCGGTAATCAAAATGATCCAAACGAAAATTTTATAGTACATAAGCATTATTATATATTGTGGTTGAATTGTTTAACGTCCTGATGTCATAGTTTACGAAGGATACAATCAACTTTAAAGTAATAATGTTTGGTCCGATCTACGCAGGACGAGCTTACAGTATCTTGAAGTCTTGCAGTAGTATGCGTGGGTTTGGATTTAATTTTATTAATTATGGGATCCCAAGTAGATAGTTGCACCCAGCCATCTTCTCTATTGAAGTTAGGATGTTTTTAATTTCAATAGCCTCGCGAATCATCCTTGGTAGGAATCGGTGTCCTATTGCGAGGATTTGTTGTCTATCAGATCTGGTATAATGGTTGGGACGATACTGAACATGTTGACATACTTCAGACTTATTATCTTATGCAAATTTTTATGGAACTTTCTTCCAAAGATGTGTTTTGTACAACCCGCGTAAATAAAAGTTAAAATGTAACGTGATTTATTAAATTTGTTTTATTACATGTGTATTATTCATCTTATGAAATTTTGAAGTCTACTCGAACGTAGAAAAAATATCAGAATCTATTTTATGGTGCTAATCAATATTAATGGGACCAATGTAATGAATTAAATATCGCATATAAGATCATGAAATCATCATCATTTTCTTAAAACTAAATTAAATTTGATTATGAATGAATGTAAAGAGTAAATAATAATAAATTTTGATTCCAAGACAATTTACCTTTCTTACGGATACATCGGAAGACATGTCCAATATAAAAAAAATGTAGATGTTTCTAGATATATGATATTAATGCAATTCTGAAAAACTTATTTATTCACGTGTTCCTATAGCATATTATATATATGCCAAATATCAAACATCTAGGTTTTTTGATTTCTCTAAGACTATCGACTCTTAGGGAAATCAAAAAAATTCTTTGACAAACTGACATAGAGACACCGACATCGAAGTGACTCTAAAAGTCATCGAATTTTGCTAAATTTGGCACGGAAAAGCATTTAATGATGTTCCTAAATTGCAGACCACGCGAACGAAGCCGCTAGTAAAAAGCTAGTACTTAAATATTCCGTGTCCAGTTTACATTATAGCTTATAGATTTATTACTTTATACTATGATTTTATAGCTTACGATTATCCGAAAGTTAGCGCTGTGGCCGAAATTGTTCTGGACGGACATCATAATTCAAACTTAGTTGAAACACGCTAGAAAGAATGGAAGTTTATCAATCTAGAATCTTCTTCATCAGTTTGTATAAGTCCATCGCTGAACATGAGTTCCCCATTCTTGGAAGGATTTGCTGTAATCGTCACGATTGGCTGACGGATCGTCGGTTTGGCGGTCGCAGCACAAACGTCTTGTACATTGATGTTGCTTACTGTATTTTATGTCTAGTGCGTCTTAATGAGATGGCTATCGTGAGATATTTCTAGCATTTCCATAATGGATTTGTTGGCGAAGCTGCAACACGGCAAACTAAATAAATAATAAAATATATTTCTTACTTTTTCACTTTCAGTGTCCAATGCACTAGTAGCTTCATCAAGTAAAAGCATTTTAGGTCTTCGTATAAGTGCTCTAGCAATGGCCACTCGCTGCTTCTGTCCTCCTGATAGCTGAGTACCCTTCGAGCCAATGTTTGTCTCATACCCCTGCAATTTAGTACAGTATATTTAAATATTTGGTATTGCAAATACTTTATTTTCAGTATTAATATACTTATATTATCTTACCATTGGCAAGGAAATTATGAAGTTATGTATGTTCGCTTGTTTTGCAACTTCAATAATTTCTTCCATACTAGGAGACCTGGAGTTATCGCCGTAGGCTATATTCTCGCTTATGGTGCGATCGAATAGGACAGGTTCTTGTTGCACAAAGCCAATAGTTTGTCTGGTATCAGCCATACGAAGTTTTGGTAGAGGAATACCATCTTGGCTCTGTAAGAAAATGTAAAATGTTAAAACAAAGTGGTCGCGGTAGCACAGAGCTCAGAGGCTTGACACTCACTTTAGACCCTTAGTAATCGAGAAACGAACGACGAAGATCCATCCCTGACGGCACTTAAATTGTAGGACATTTGAAATCTTCCAACACGCATTGGCAGATAAACTAATATGAAGATGGTGCGTTGATATACTCGTAAATAATGGAAAAATTTAAAAATATCCGCAATAGAAATAATTTGTGCTATTTATAATATTTACAAAATTTGTCATGTAAGCTAATAAAAATCAGAAAATGTTTGTTAATTGTTTTGGTGTTAATGATTGATAAGACAATGAAATCTTACCACTGTGCCGCTATCAGGGTCGTAGTACCTTTCCAGAAGTTGAATGACTGTGCTCTTGCCACAACCACTAGCCCCCACTAAAGCAATTGTTTCGCCACGTGGTATCGCCAGGTTCATATTTTTCAGTACTTGTACCATAGGACGAGTTGGATATTTGAAGTCGATATTTTGCAAATTTGCTTCTCCGCTTCCTTTCTGAATAAATAATACGTAATGTTTTTCTAAAGATATTTTTAATTTTAATGAAATAATGAATACAATTAATATTACTTAATGCAAACGAATGTTAATTAAATTTTTATGTTATTTAAAAATAGGTTGTATATTGTACTGGCTGCATAGTATGCCCCTATTAATAAGAAAAAATTAAACTAAACGAAATGAATTTGTTTGAATCGACTTACGACTATTTGATAAATAAAGACTGAACATAAAGTCAAGTTATCTTTATCTCTATAATATGTTCGACTAAAAGCCTAAGTTCGGGTACATTTACATTTAGGCAGCTACATCCGATTGCGGTTAGCTGTTATAATTCAAATATATTTTTTCATTTGGAGATACAAAAATTTTTTTTGAAGTTATGAAATCTTTTTATTTTATTTGTTTCTAACTCGCGCGACTCTTATAATTCCTTCTATGAAAGAAACGGTGCGTTACGTTATGCCATAAAATCGTTAAAATTATTATTTGTATTGCGATATTTTCACAACTTACGAAGTCCTCAATTGCTGGCTTGGGAGGATCTACAATTTTAGACTGCTTATTAAGAATCTTAATTATCCTCCCGGCTGCCTTTATTCCTTTTTGGAAATTGGGTGCAAAAGCAAAGGCTTGACCTGCGGAACTCGCTCCATTAAGAAGTGATTCGGTTGACCTAGAAAAGAAGTTTAATTTTAGGTACTTCACAATTATGTAGTGGTTTATAGTAAATTTGCGTCAGCAGTTAGTTGTAGTAACATAAAGCCTGGTTGCTACTTGTTTGCTATACACGAAGAATTTGTGTGTGAGACAAAGTCTAGTAATGACCCGTCATTACAAGTTTGTCTCTCGCCCATAATTTTTTTTTTATAGGATAAGGGTGACAACCGAGCACACAGTCCACCTGATGGTAAGTGGTTGCTGCGGCCCATAGACATCTACATCTATCTTCGTTTGCGAATCAAAATGCAGATGCGTTGTCACCCGTGAGGACTAAGATGGAATGCCTCATTTCCAGTAAAAAGGGCCTCCGGCCACCTGCACTCACCAAGCGAAATGCAGAGGTAAACCTCTACTTCACGCTGGTATTCTGTGAGGTCGTGGTACTACCCCGGTTCGAGCCGACCCATCCGTGCGACAGCAAAAGCCGCCAGGTGGCTCTACCACTGTTTAAACTGTGCTGTACCACTGTTTTGCCGTCACAATAACAATAAAGCTGGTTCTTGTAGACGTGTTGTTTGGTTTGTCATGACATTGTTATTTATTTTGAAACGACTGTTTTAACGATATTCCGTATTGGGAAATTGAGAAGCGCACGTAATTACTCAGTTTTGTTTTCATTTATGTGAATTGTATAGGTAATCAAATTGATAAGACTTCATCGAGTCGATTCATTCATCATAAATGTAACAGGCGAGGGATTTGACAGTTCATCAAACATAAAAACGGAAACTGATTCTAATTCAATATTTATTTCAAAGGGCAGATTTGTTTAATTATCAAAAAAATTGGCCTCAAAAGCTTGGTGTGCTCAGCAGAGCGGGTTAGTATTTCATACCGGCACACTGTTTGCAATTTTACAAAGCGCAGGTTCGGCCTCACATAGCATTTTAACTGTGGTAGAGCCACGCGGTAGTTTTTGCTGTTGCATGTATGGGCCGGCTCGAGCCGGGTTGGTTTTGCGTTTCGTCTGGTGAGTGCCGGTGGCCGGAGGCCCAATCCCCCCCTCCCCCATCAACATGGTATCGGAATTATATCAAAGACTACCCCAGGAGGGTACCAGCACCCCTGGAGAATCCCTCGCTGAATTTCTGCAACATCAGGGGACTTCACTCGAATCTAAACACCGTCCACTACCATCTCGAGACGGTGAAGCCGGCCTTGCTCTTTCTGACCGAGACGCAGGTGTCCCCTCCCACTGATACTTCGTATCTTTCCTACCCGGGGTACAAATTGGAGCACTCCTTTGTGCCTCGGGCTGGAGTTTGCGTGTATGTCAGAGAGGACATCTGTTCTCGACGCCTCGGCAGTCTTGAAGGTTCGGACCTGTCCATCCTTTAGCTACGCGTAGACAGCGACGACCATCCGCGCGTCTACGGGTGCCTCTAAAGGTCCCATAGCGGTAATGCCGAAACAGACCGACTCCTCGACTACCTCCATATGGCTACAGATTCCTTGCTACAACAGGTCCCATCAACAGAGATCGTGATCCTTGGCGATTTTAACGCGCACCACGCCGAATGGCTCGGTACACGTTTAACCGATCATGCGGGGAGATCTGTTTATGACATTGCCTTGGCATATCGTCCGACGCAACTGGTTACTGCGTCTGCGTCTTCAGACCATTGTCTGATCCGGAGTGTGGTGCCAGTCTCGCTCCCCTCGCGGTTGCGTTCTGCAGGTTGCTGCCGTGTTTGGCATTACAGGTCGGCGGATTGGGACGGAATGCGGTCTTTCTTTGCATCCTACCCATGGGGGCGGGTTTGCTTCTCGCCGGATGATCCCAGTGCTGTTGCTGACTCTGTCACTGATGTGGTGCTACAGGGAATGGAACTATTTATTCCATCATCTGTGGTACCCATCGGAGGCAGATCTCAGCCTTGGTTTGGTCGCTCCTGTAAGACTGTATAACGCAGTAAGCAGGAGTGTTATCAAGCCTGGGCTGTGGCTTCGGCGACTCGGGATGTAAACACCAGCATGCTTAAAAAGAAGTATAACTTCGCCTCCAGGTCCTTCAAAAGAGTTATTGCCAAGGCAAAGTCAGAGCACATAGGCAGAATTCGCGAGAAACTAGTTTGCCTTCCTTCAGGAACACGTGCATTCTGGTCTCTCGCCAAGGCTGTCCAAGGGAATTTGTGTAAACCATCACTACCATCTCTGCACAGGGAGGACGACTCACTGGCCCAAGCCGCAAAAGAGAAAGTCAACCTTTTAGGCTCCCTTTTTGCGTTCAACTCGACTCTTGATGACGGGGGAAAACACCTCCGACTATCCCGCGGTGTGAGTGTTCCATGCCGGATGTGCGGTTCTCACAGCGCTCGGTTCACAAAGTACTCCTCTCCCTGGACATCCACAAGTCGAGTGGGCCTGACGGAATCCCCCCAATTGTGCTGAGGACGTGTGCTCCGGAGTTGGCACCGGTCCTAACGCGTCTTTTCCGGTACTCCTACTCTCTAGGCGTAGTCCCGAAATCATGGAAGACAGCTTTTGTCACCCGATCCCTAAAAAAGGTGACCGCTCAGACCCGTCCAACCACAGGCCTATCGCCATCACCTCCTTGTTCTTCAAAATAATGGAATCCATTATTAACTGCCAGCTAATGCGGTACCTTGAGGATCACCAGCTGATTAGTGACTGCCAATACGGTTTTCGTCGGGGTCGATAAGCTGGTGATCTTCTGGTCTACCTGTCTCATAGATGGGCGGAGGCAGTAGAGTCCAAGGGGGAGGCGTTGGCCGTTAGTTTGGACATTGCGAAGGCCTTCGATCAGTTTGGCACAAAGCGCTTCTTTCGAAGCTCTTTTCCTATGGGCTTCCCGAGAAATTGTGCAATTGGATCACCAGCTTCCTTGCAGATCGGAGCATCAAGGTCGTTGTAGACGGTGCATGCTCTGACTACAAGCCTATTAACGCTGGTGTTCCACAAGGCTGTGTGCTATCACCAACGCTGTTTCTCCTGCATATCAATGATATGTTGCTAACTGGTAACATTCATTGCTATGCGGATGACAGCACTGGTGAAACTTTATACACCGGCCGTGCCAATATTTCTCGGGAAAACTTCGCCGAGTACCGGAACAAACTTGTGTCTGAAGTCGAGTCTTTGCTGAAAAAAGTCTCGGATTGGGGGCGACTAAATCTAGTCCAGTTTAATCCTCAGAAGACATAAGTTTGCGCGTTTATCGCTAAAAAGAACCCCTTTGTCGTATCTCCTCAGTTTCAAGGCACTCCCCTTCTTGCCTCAGCCAGTATTGGAATCTTCGGAGTCGACATATCGAGTGACGTGTAGTTTGGTGGTCACTTGGAAGAGAAGGCCAAATTGGCCTCTAAAAAGCTTGGCGTGCTCAGCAGAGCGGGACAGTATTTCATGTCGGCACACCGCCTGCAACTTTACAAGGCGCAGGTTCGGCCTCAGACGGAATACTGTTCCCATCTCTGGGCGGGGGCTCCCCAGTGCCAGCTCCTTCCACTTGACCGCATCCAGCGCAGAGCGGCTCCAATCGTCGACGACCGAGTCCTTTCCGATCGGCTCGATTCATTGGCACTGCGAAGAGATGTTGCATCCCTTTGCATTTTATTTCGCATTTACCACGGGGAGTGCTCTGAGGAATTGTTCGGATTAATCCCAGCCGCCAAATTTCACGAACGCACATCACGTCAGAACTCCCGAAACCATCCACACCGTCTGGATGATTAGCGGTCCAGCACTGTGCGATTTAGAAGATGTTTTCTTCCTCGCACAACTTCCTTGTGGAATCGATTACCATCAGCGATTTTTCCGGACCGATACGACTTAGGGACGTTCAAGAAAAGAGCCTACTCCTTTTTAAAAGGCCGGCAACGCATCTGCAATTGCCCTGGTTCCCCTGGTGTTGCAGTTGTTCATGGGCGGCGGTAGTCACTTACCATCAGGTGAGCCACATGCTCGTTTGCCACCTCTCCTATAAAAAAAACATAGAATATTGTTCTCATCTTTGGACTGGGGCTCCCCAGTGCCAGCTTCTTCAACTTGAACGCATCTAGCGCGGAGCGACTTGAATCTTCGTCGACCTAGTGCTCTCTGATCGGCTCGATTCCCTGAAGCTGCGCAGAGATGTTGCATCCCTTTGCATTTTCTATCGCATCTACCACGGGGAGTGCTCTGAGGAATTGTTCGGATTAATTCCAACTGCCATATTTCACAAACGCACATCGCGACAAAACTCCCGTTACAATCCACATCATCTTGATGCTTGGCGGACCACTACCGTGCGGTTTACAATGAGTTTTCTTCCTCGCACGACTACTTTATGTAGTGGTTATTACAGGCGATTTTTGTCGATCGGACTTAGGGAACTTCAAGAAACGAGCTTGCTCTTCGCGCTGCTGCCCTTCTCCTGGTTTTAGTCGTGGGCGGCGGTCGACACTTACCATTAGGTGAGCAACATGCTCGCTTGTCTCCTTTTCTATATAAAAAAAAGTATATATAGTACCGAAATAAACATATATTTAAATTAAATAAACAATATAGAAAATTTGATTTTTAAAGTCAAAACTCAATTTCCATTATCTAATCTACGAAACCGCACCACATGCCTGACATTTTGATCGCAATGTTTTAAAATGTTTACGTCTTTGTGGCCTAAATTGTAGTAGTGTAAATTGATTCGGATTCAGATTTCTACATCTACAAATTTACACTAAAATTATAAAGAAGTAACATTGTTTGTATATAGGAGGTCATTTGTGAGACTGCTGATCCGATTTAGGGAAGTCTTTCACTGACAACACTGTTACAAAGTGGCATAAAAATATTTTTGATAATGATAATGATTGCAAAGTTGTAAAGTAAGTGTTTTCATAAAATAAATATTTTAAGAAGACGAATATTAATAATGTCTGCGCATCTTTTAAGATATTTAACCCTATAACAGTTATTGGTTCTATAGGTTTAGTAAAACGAAAAAAAAAATACTTTACTTTAGAATGAGTACGTAGTCAACGTGCTTGTAAATCATAAGTATCCCTCCATAGTAGATAGAAGCGGCATACGCGAAGTTGAAAATGCTTCTTGAAAGACCAAAAACTATACCACGCCAGTGAGACGTTTTCTTTGCTTGTACAAGAGCGGGCTTAAGCTGCATTGCGTATTCTTTGACAAACATATCTTCCCGTCCTAGGGATGCCACCGTGCGTACGTTAGCAATTGCCTCCACTGCTAACTAAAATGAAAAAAAAATATCGAGCATGAGTTGATAGATGATAATCGAACTCATAGCCTAGTACCTTGTATGTCCGTTAGTTCCATAAAAATGTATTTTTATGGAACTAACGGACATACAAGGCTATTTAGTAGTCATAGTATGCACGAACTGTGGTTCGTGCATACTATGACTACTAAATAGTAAACAAAACTTATGAATATGGATGCGTATTCTAACTATTCTATCGATCATCCTAGTCGTAGCCAACATTTGTGGTTTTCGTGGATAGTGTTGTACGTAATTGTTTTTATATCATCATCCAATAAATTCAGATTTTATCCATTAAATTTAGATTACGGGTAAGTATAAAGGTATGAGAATAATAAGAAATGAAAGACCCTTTTTTGAGTCAGGATTCAGGAATATTTTTGCTCCTGTCCTTATTGTATTTTCAGATTTTTGTAATAATAGGATCCAAGGTAAAGTCCAATTTATCCTATAATTATTTAGTATTCTATATACTTAAAGCATCACTGTTGAGCATAGGCCTCACCCACGAAATACTACAAAACAGTCCTGTGCCGAAAGAATTAGTAGGTATAATATCTTTATTAATCGACTTCCTGTACTTCTTGCCATCTTGCCAGGGCAAAGAAATACAGCAAGTTACTCAAATTATTCAAACATTCATTCAAATAATTAAAAATTTTGTACAAACGACTTCGATATAAATTATTAAAAATAACTCAAAAACTATTGGTCAGACCTTGATCAAATTTATATGGGACCACATGACAAGCACCAGCTTTCAAATTCAAATGAAAACAGAATCATCGAAATCGTTCTCCCAGAAAAAAGTTATGAGGTAATACAAAAAAAAAACATACAGACGAATTGAGTCCTCCTCCTTTTTGAAGTTGGTAGAAAAATGACGAGGAAGGCCGATGTCAGTCATGATGTTTATATTTATTAAAGTATAGTTGTGAAAACCCGCTTCGCTTGTTTATTTTTTGTCGAATATTTATTCATGTATGTATATTTTATTAAATTTTCTGTTTTAAAATTAATAATACATTATTTTTTTTTATTAAATTTTTAAAAATTTTCTTACATTTATTTTATTCACTATACAAAAATACTTTACACATAGTCATGTACTGAATTATTATATTACAACATTTAGTTATATGTACGTAGTACATTATAACTCAATGTATTACAACAATACATTCTTATGGAGCATAAACACCATCGGCCATGATTGACAACTACAGAATGGGGCATGATTGTCACAATCATTGCGCGGCTGCCCACCCAATCTTGGTATAAAAACGGATTTTCCTTTTTCTTTCCCGTATAACCGTCTACTATACGAAGATCTTCAAAAGATGTTGATCCACGAACTTCATTAAGTACTAGACGTAAGTAAAAACATTCTGCGTTTTTTGGACAAACCGTATATATTCTTAAGCCTCATATTAGAGCAATGGCGATCGCTCTTTTTCGTCGAAAAAATACCCTTCACGATGCATCCCATGTGTAATAACTGGGAACATCCACATAGAAAAGTGTTCTTGCAAACGAATCATTTCTATACAATTCAAAAAACGCTATCAAGGAATACAATTCAAGGGTTGATTTGCAACTTTTCTGTCGTTTGACTGGTAAAATATACTAGTTGTCCATTTTCAAGATGAACTGCTAATGGAATACTGCTGGGTATTTGTCATGAATTGGAAATTATAAGATACGCCAAACTACTTCATTACTATTGATGTAGCGCCCCATTTGATATCTTAAAATTTCGTCATGTCGAGTTTTATCAGTGATTTCAAAGAGAACCGTATCCCGCCACTCGCTTTTTTAATATTGTAAGTATATTAACAAAGCGAGTGGCGGGATACGGTTCTCTTACATATTTAGTTGACTTTACAGAACTACAATATTTTACGTTCATGTGTGCTTGAAACATTTTAGATAACGGATTATATGGTACAACCCATTGATTATCAATTTCAACTTCTTTACCTCTAATTTTGATTTTGTTGTAAATCCTCCCTCACTCGGTAGTCGACGTCTATATTTAGGATAGCCGTCGTTAACCGTTTGGGTTTCACTCAAAAATGATCTTGGATATCTCTTCGAGCATTAATTTGTTATTATTCATACAGGTAGATTTCATCTTTCATGTTCCACATTAACCATGTATCATATTTTTAACAATTATATCCTACAAAGTAGGATCTTCAACCGGGTTTGGGATCTCTGCCTTAATGACATATCATCAATTCAATTTGAATTATTTTTTTCTTTGAGTCAAATCAAGTTATGTAAGTGTTGCAAACCTCTTTTTTGACATTTTATTTAGTACATCCAAATAATATCATCTCCAAAAACACAACTCTTCACAATTGCATTAATAAATATTTTTGTCTAAACGCTCGTGCAATTATATCACGTCTATCATGTGGCTTTTGTCCATGGATTATATTATAATCCATGGACAAAAGCCACATTATGTAAACGTAATAAACAAATCAGAACGACCATATTTTCTCACATAAGTCATTGCGTCTTGTGCATATTCCTGCATATTATGTCTGGGGCTACCAGTAATCGAAGAAAGCAAAATTACCTATCATCCCAAATCATCAATGTTTCCATCATTAGCTATCGCATCTCGCAGATATTCATCTGTATATGTATTATCAGGTATTCATTCGTTTGTAACTTGCTCTGATTTAGGCGAATGTTTAACTTTCTCTAATTCAAATTCTAAATAATTTCTTTCTCTGTAATCCTCAATCTGTTCTTCGGTCATATTATATCGGTGACGATGATAATTTTGTCGTTCCAATTCTAGACACACTTCTCTTTCTTCTATAGATTCATTTTGCCGCGCTGTTTTGCCTTTTTGATATGGATCGAGAACGCGAAAATACTTATTTACGCTTGGGCATCGTTTTTAATATTTTAACTGTTGATAGTGCAACTATTTACTTTGCACTTTTTACTCGTACTTTGCGTGAGATGTACACTTCTTCTTATAGAAAACCAATTGAAGAACGCGTAAATCGCGTTTTGTCTTGTATACTCTTTAAAACTACCCCCACTTTTCAAAAAATTTTCTGGACTATTCGAAAATACCGGAAATGTTCTGGAAAGTTCTTCTTTTTTCGATTATTCGTAAAGTTAATAGAAGAATCTAGATCACTTTAGGCCGATGAGAATAATTAATAAGTTATTTGAATCATTCTAAATAAGTTTAGACTTTAGAGCATTCCAGATAATTCTCGAATATTTTTGAAAAATCAAGAACATTCTAGATTATTCTAGAATGATAAGAATAACTTTCAAATCATTTTAAAACATTGAATGTAATTTATAATTTTCGAGAGATTATAGAACGTTTTAGTTTACGTCGAATTATCTCAAATAATTTTAATCATTGAAATATATTTGAGAACTCTTAGATCATTCTAGAAATTTTTATAACAATCTAGAACGTTCTAGACTGTCCAATCAGTCAGTTCTATATAATTCAGAATATTTAAATATATTAGAGAACTTTCAAGATCATTTAAAAATTTTTAGAACAATCCAGAATATTCTCGACTAATTATAATTTCACAATTTTGAAGATAACTGTTTCAACTATCTTTTACACACGATGATTTTTGTTTATATATACCTTACCTTTGAACTAGTTTCCATAGATTTTGTAGTTCCTGAATTCGCATCGTTAGTCAATTTGCTTTCATAATAAAGGGCTATAGCCATCACTGGCACGCAGCTGAGAGCAACCAAGCCAACTTGCCATTGGTAATAAAGTGAGAGTGCAACAGCTAATACGACTGTTCCTATTGCCTGGAGTACTGTGCCGACTCTTTGCCCAGTTGCCTGTAAGAGTGCTTATATTGTTATTTCTTTTGTTTAAATTTAATTTGACAGGGCATGATATTTATTCAAAACTTACTTGAAAGTTTTTAGAATTGGCTAAAATAACAATATAAAGTATTGTATGTAGGTAATTAAAAATAATTTTGTATTATACAACTTGTTTGGACACACGAGGTATATTAAATTCGTTTGTCATTTGTTTTTGCAAATTGGCGGTAATTTGTAAAGTGTGAGTAGTGCGTTAAGATAAATTTAATCATTTTAATTTCATGAGACAAAATCCGGTGGCATTACTTATTACTGGTTCAGTGTATAATAGCAATAGATGATGATTTATGTCATGGACGTTCTGCAACGACAACAAGTGAAGATAGTGACAGTGCTATGCGGCACATGATAGAAGCTGATAATATAGCTCGAAGTCGTGCCGCGAAATGATAGAAAAATAATACGATGGTGACGCAAATCCAGTTTTTAATATCGCACACCACATTATTGACGTCTGGATACTGATTGATGAACTGGATATATTGTTATTAAGCCGAAACCAAAAGGTAATCAATATGTACAGTGAGTGTTTTTTCTTGAGTATTTTTCAAGAAAAGTAAAGACAGAAAGCAGTCACGGAAAATAAGAAGTCAAGGAAAAATTAATGGTTTCTCTCTTAAAAACTTTTGTTGGAAGGACGGGACGTTACAGGCCAGTTAAGAAAGATAAAAGCGTTGTTATTGCAGACTGGTGTTTTATTTTATTTTTTGTATATTATAGGGTGACAAACTACTTATTTTAGCAGTTACATAGTATACGACAATGCATAGACAGTAATGGAATAACTTCTAAAAAACAAAGGCATTTGCATCTTCTTACTGTAAACGTAAACTTCTTATTGATTCACTAAAAGCTTCTAATGTCAGTCACGTATAAAGTCTATTTGTCGAGAGTTGATTAATATATATGAAAAATGGGCGTCGCTAATAGCCGCAAGCCCAGAGTTTTGTTGTGCAAAGATCACAGCTGTGAGGCCGGACGAGCGGATCGACGTGACGGCTATCTTTTAGCAAAAGTAATTAGTAGGACGCAATTTGTAGTGAGTTTAGGATATCCTTGTTTTTTTTTACTAACTCTCGCCGACATACCATATTAAATTATAAAACCGAACACTAGCTATTTCAAGTTATTGCAAGTTATTTAAAGGATCCGAAGATGCCTAGTGTGAAAAGTATTAGATACTATTCAAGACATGCATGCTCGTAATATCATGGAAATGTTTCAAATGCATTTCCTTGATATTTCCACGATATTCATGACATATATTTAAACCAGCAAGCAAAGTACTTGTAAATAAAGAAAACATACCCCTTGCACAGCGGCCGCTTCACCAGACAGTCGGGCACAGAGAGCTCCTGTAGAGTTAGCCTTATCATCGAAATATGCAATTTCTTGTTGAAGTAAGTGTTTAAATAATAAAATTCGCAACCTTGTTGTCAGGTACTCCCCGGCTACACCATAGTAATATACCTAACATGTGAACATTTAAATTAAACTATTAGGATTAGTAACTATTAGGATATATATAGCAACTTATAGTCGTTTATAAAAAAAAACATACCACTATAAAGTTGGCGATTCCCGAGGCAACACCTATGACGATGAACAAGATGGCGTAGTTTATCACTTTGGACCTAACCTCTTCTAAGTTAGGATTCGAAAATATCTAAAAATAAATATAAAATACAATGTTTGAATGTTAAACTTTTTATGGATTTTATCGCGATTATTAACTTATTTTATATTGCCGACTTTTCGGCTACTTTACAGCACCTATTGTCACTGGGGAACAGAGGTGTTCGATGTCTCAGTACCACTTGAAACATAGGGATATAAAATAAGTTAGTAAATGTGACAAAATCCCTAACAAATATGTAGTGTTCGCGTAAATATAAGAAATCGTTAAAAGTTCAATGCTTACTATATTAACCAAAGTACAAAAAAAATACCAAATAAACAATAATCTAAATTAATATTCCGATCTTTTTTGAGGAACAATAACCGTTAAATATTATACTTCTACTTCATTAACAGACCATAACAGTTCATTGCTGGCCATATTATAAAGCGGACCACTATCGTCACTGCTGGCAGGTATTGGTGACCGCTGTAGGTACCAGAAGTCAAATACCATTGACATAAAGATCTAATCCTGAACTGAACAAGTGTTTGGCAAGGACTACAAATAATTGTTCCGGGTCTGGATATTTGTCCTTGGGCAATAAATGTAAATAAACTGCCACCACGACATAGGAAACAATTCTAGTGGTTACCAGTTGCTCACCTCTTCAATACTCATGAACCAAAATTAAATGATAGATAATTTTTAAAATAACGTACGTTAAAGAGTAAATGCAGCCATTTTGTCTTTTTAAATTTTGCCTTTTTAAGTTTGGCTAATTCATTAACGTAACTAACTAGTTAGTTTAGTTAGTTCATTAAAATACTTTGGCAATTAAGACCAACAATACAAATCACCAGTGACTAGTATTAAAGGCCATGGGTAGCGCATGGGTTAGCCGCTCGCCGTGAACAACTTCAGAGTACGAGAACAACTTGGTTTGATCCCTGTCGGAACTCGGAACCAATGAAATTTTTATTATCAATTTTAATATATAAAGTGCTGATTTACTACGTGCTTGGTGGTGAAAGAAATCTAAGTGAAAAAACCTACATATCTTTGGAATATAATATTTCGTAGACTTGTGAATTCGGTTAACACGTACTGGAGCAGAGCAGCGGCCCAATTGCCCCAAAAGCCTCTCAGAAATAAAAGAGGTCTACAGGCTATAACTTTACTTTTACCAATAACTTACTATTCTAGTAGGCATATTTTATTTTAATTAACATAAAACCGGACAGAAGACTGAAGCAACTGTGAGAAACTGCCGGTATTTGGAAAGAGGGGTTATCAGTTTCGTTTTGACGCTGCGTGTCTTTACTCTATCTGCTACACTGCTGCGCATTTCAATCGCTTGATCGCACTTGAAGCATGTAATTTAATATTAAATTAGTCAGCGAAGGTTTACGAGCTGTGGGAGAACTGTTTGAATAGCATGAGTCTTATTGTTGATATTGCTTATTGCTAATGTAGATTTTTTTGCATAGCTTCACACAAAGAAATAACATAAAATTGATCAATTACCCCTATAAAATCAGCAATAATAACGGCGAACAGTGGCATTGCGAATCCACTTAATAGAGAGGAGATACTAGCTGCAGAAGCTGATTTCCATTCCGGTGCATTAAGCCGAACCACACGCCAAAATGATACATCTTCCGAATCAATAGCCTCTGTCTTATCCTAAAACATTTAAAAAAATATGTTAATACAATTATTATTTTTATGTTGTTAGAGTAAAATTGTTGTAGTTTTTGCACCGTAATCAGAAATAATATTCCTGTTTCTACAACCCAACATTGACTATCAACATTTTAAGAAGTTAAATAATGTCTTCGATTTATTTCGCGTTTATTTCAAATTATTAATGATATGACACATAGTACATACCATTACATTAATAACTAAAGTAGATTGTGTTTTATCTCTAACTAATTAAATAAGCGCCTCAGCTTTAGAAGATTAACAAGCTTCATTGTTATAATAGTAGTAAAAAAAAACTGTGTCAAAAAGCTTCCTGAAAACAACCTTCAACTCCCTTTTTTGTATTTGCAGATTAGATTCAATATATAAATATTATATTTCAACGCCCAAAATTCAACGTATACGGTTACCAGGGTGTGAACAAATTGATGACTACCCAGGGAAAAAACAAAAATCTGACTCTTTTTTTGAGTTATAATAACTTTTTTAAAATACTTTAAAATTTGACAACCTATACAATACTTTTAGGTACTATGACTTCAAAGCAAATATCATTGTTATTTTTTTTTGTATTAGCAACCTAAGTAGTATAGCTGTTCATCCCAGTTCCAAATATAAAGAACATATCTCAAGTTTTAAGAAATAAATAAAATTAAGTTAATTTTTTTCAAGCAATTTTAGAAAATTTTAACTTTCACTCGTCACGGTATAAAAAATATGGATCAACACTACTATGGTAAGTTATTATAAAGTTAGCACAGCCAACTAATTAAATTTCTAAAATGGTATAATATTCTAGTAACACTAAGCACACAAAAAAAATATTCATATTTTTTTCTGTAATAAGTGTCTATTATTTATTCTCCCAGACTCGTTATACCAGAAATTTTTATATACACACATTTTCTACGATTTAATATTTGTGCTAATTTATCACTTACTTGCATTTTCACGTCTTGGCATTCGTCTTCATCTACCTCACTTTTCACTGAAGTTGACCGGGTAATTAAGGCCGATTTTTCTGTAAAATTAAATAATTGCAGTTGGTTTCTTTGTTTTTAGTATATATGTATCCTCTCGTTTAGTTAGTGATTTTGTTTTTATAAAAAAAGCGATTTAATCCCTGCAATACCATCAGGTGGATTATACTACCTTATGGTAAGTAATTATTGTGGTCCATTCCATGGACACCTGCAGCCAATCTACCACAAAGAAGGCTACAGATGTGTTGTCACCTCTGAGGCTAATAGGTGTAATTTCTCACAGCATGTAATTACATTGGCTCTCTATACACTACCGTATGGAATAAAGCAGAGCATGCACTGCAATCTACCGGCAGATTCAGGTGACAGGGATGTACATACTCTAATGGAATCCTAGGCGAAGTGTCAGCTAGCTTAACTAACAGATTAGTTGCCTAGTATTGCATTTACATTTGAATAGTTTCGCCGGAAGTTAAAGTTGCAGCCTATATACGTCCCACAACTAGGTACAGGCCTCCTCTCATTTCTGAGAGGATTTTAGGGCAAGGAAATGTCCGCCGCCCTGCCCCAATGCGTGTAGGCGAACTTCACATGTTTTAGAAATATTATTTTTCTTATTTCTCAAATATGCACGATTTTTTTTTATTATTCTTTACCCGTGAGGAATTGCTATCGGTATACAATTCCTTATGGTTTTGAGCTTTTGTTTGAATGAGAATTTATATTTGGTCCACATTTTGCTATGTTTATCGCAAATGTAAATGACATTTGAGATCTTTTGACAATGGTTCGCATAATATTTTTGAATAATGAATTTTGTTTATGATTTTCTTAAGACAAGTAAAAAATTAATTTGATTAATCTTTATAAATATTTTTCATGTATATATATTTCTATTATAGACTACATATATAATATTAATAAAACAAAAATAACAATTTACATACAATGATTATCTTATTTATTAAATATTTTACTTAACTCTCCTTAGAGTTACTTAATTGGAAAATTCTCCAAATTTTAACTTACTATAGCTGTATTATTGTTGAAGTTTTTTAATTTACTTATAATATAATTGACATGGGCCTTAAAAGTTTGTATTGTAGTTTCTTTGGAAATTATTTGTGATAAATTATATGGTTCTATCCTTAAGACAGTGTACGCAACCTCGTGTTCCATTCTTGTTTTAATAAATACAGGGCAGTTTTTTATGAGATGTTTCATAGATTGTACACTCGTTTGATCGCATGGGCATTTATTATCATTTGTTATTTTAAAACGATGTAAATATTCTTTATGATATCCATGATTGCTAAAATATTGGGTTATGGCAAAGTTAAGTGTAAGTGCTTTATCAGTTAGGGTGAGTTGCTCGTATGTAAGACAAAGAGATTTGGTTTATATGCCTTTGTCACTTTGAAGGTAGAAGTCTTCCGTTTCTTTAAGGGCGCGCTGTCGATTAAGGTATTTTACATAGGTTATTGGGAATTTGGCAAATTCATAAGATCGGTGTGAGGCTGCCGCGCTTTTAGCAGCTGCATCCGCTTCTTCATTGCCAGAAATTCCAGTATGACCTTTAATCCAGCAAAAATTTACTTTTAAATAAAGCGATTCAATCTGATGTATTAACTTATGGATCGATACTACGAGGAGTTATAACTATTTTCATTAGCAATTTCTTGAAGTCCTGATTTACTGTCGGAAAATATGTGTGTGGCATTGATTTTGTGTTCCATAATCCATTCGCAGGCTTTTGAAATGGCAAGGAGTTCGGCTGGAAAGACTGAAAACGAGTCATGTAATTTATATTTAATGTTAGTTTTTCGCCGGTCGGTTTGTGTATCACAAATGCGGCACCTACTTTATTGTTGTGTTTGCTACCATCGGTGTAAATTCGGTAAACATTTTTAATATCATCTGTTGGTGTTAGTTTTTCAGTAAATTTAATAGGTTTTCGCAACGACGGGTGTAATATATTTCCTGGTTTAGCGGGAACGTCTAAGGTGATATCAGAAGGTAGGTACTGTGATACATGTGTGATTCTTGTGCGTTCATTGTCTGCCATTTCCTGTATTTTTATTGGGAGCGGGCATAATTGGGCAAGTGATATGGAAGCTACTGTACTCACGGTTCTAAAGCCACGGATAATTCTAAGGGCAAAGTTTCGTTGCAAAGAGAGTAGTTTCTCTTTCACACATTTGTACCCGATTGCAGATTGCCAGATAGAGGCAGCATAACAGACTATTGGCTCAATCACATGTCTATAAATAATTTCTATATTTTCGGAATGAATACCCCAATACGAATATTTTTAACTTACTGTATAGTTTACGGACTTTGTTGACTATGTAAGTTACATGTTTGATGAATTTTAGCTGTTTGTCTATTAAAACACCTAGAAGCTTAATCTCGTTGGAAAACATCACCTGATGACCAGACATATATGGTTTGCATTTTGCAGCCTTGCAAGTAAATGCGATGGCCTGTGTCTTGGCAACTCCAAAAGTAAGTTTCATCTCGCGAGTCCACTTAGTTATTATATTTAAAACATTATTTGCGTTAAGCTGTAAATCATTACTATATTTGGCGTGTACAAGGAGGACTATATCATCCGCAAATGCTTGTATCGTAACTCCGGGTGGCATGTCTATGTCAAGAAGTTCATCCACAATTAAATTCCAAAGAAAAGGGCCACAGACCGAACCCTGGACGCAACCTCTCGTCAGAGTTTTACTAACCGTGCTGTCTCCAAAATGGATAGTTGCAGATCGATTTTGAAAGTAGCTACGCAGGATAGAATAAATATTACGGGGGCATTTAATTTTATGTAGTCGGCGGTATATTGCCGGCCACCAGGCACAATCAAAGGCAGCTTGGATATCTAATGAAACTGCGAGTACCTGTTCTTTATTGGCTATGGCATGGTTAATTGTATCTATTATATTGGTTAATGCATTGACGGTAGAGGTTTGTTCTTTAAAACCCAACTGTGCTGAATTAAAAAGATCGTTCTGGTGCATGAAGTATGTTAATTTTCGTATAACCAGTTTTCAAACAGTTTTCCAAAAACATTAATCAGACCTATGGGTCGGAAGGAAGAGATATTTAGGTAGTCATCCTTGTGAGGCTTAGGGAGAATTTTAATGAAAGCTTTCTTCCAAATTTCTGGAAAATATCCGAGTTTGAAACAACGGTTAATTACTGAAGTGGTGAGATCTGGGAAGCTTTTGACAAATAATAAGCAAATATCAGAAGTAAGATGGTCCATGCCGGGTGCTTTTTTCGGATTCATACTATTTAAGCTACTGAGAATTTCTTCGTAGGTAAAAGGGGGTTCATCTGGCGTATTTGGTGAGATAATTGCTAGGTTTCTGGCATTTTCTTGAATTGTTGTATCATTTAGGTCATCATCGGGGAAAAATTTATCAAGAAGAGCTTGGGCAGTTTCCAGACTGGTGGTGGTGTATGAACCATCGCTTTTCTTTAGTGTTGCTGGTGGTAGCGCAGGTGGGCTTGATTTAATAATTCTGTTTGTACCGGACCATACATCTTCCTTCCCTTGCCTTTCACAAAAGTCTCTGAAGTTTCGCATGGAAGTTTCACTGAAGGTTTTTGAGTAAGCAGTTTTTAAGCGTTCTTTTTCCAACTCTTCAAGTGGTTTATTTTGTCGCCGCAGTTTTTGTATATTATGATGGTTACGTATAACTTTTTTTGAGACATTCAAGTTCATCTGTCCACCAAGGGCAACGGTATTTTCGATCAGTTGACCTTGGGAGTAGCTCATCACATGTTTTTTGAATTGCCGATGTAACTGAGATTATGTAATTTTCAAGTTCATTTGGCTGCATCTGTTCAACCATAACATTTTGTGGTACATGTTCCTTAATTTTGCCTTCAAAGGAAGGCCTTAGTTCTTCCCATTTTATATTATTCGTATTGTATCTGAACGTACTGGTTGTTTTGTTGGTTTTTCTCTTTTCACCATGAGTAGTGACAGAGAACATCACCGCCCTGTGTTCAGAAGACAAACAGATTGAAGGATCCACTTTCCAGTCTGTAATCCGGTCATATGTAGAGCTAGAAGCAAGTGAAAGATAAATATAAGAGCTCCGCATTCGCCCATAAGATACTGTCTCGAAAGTAGGAGTATGACCTCTATTACACAAAAACATGTCATTGCCATAAACGATGTCAACAACTTCATTTCCCCGCGAGTTTGCCCGGTTGCTACCCCAGATAGGGTGCCAACAGTTAAAATCGCCTCCAACAAGCTGATGGCAGTTACTGGTCATTTTCAAAAAGTTGTCTAACCGTTGCAATGTATTGTGATCGTCACTATTAGGTTCGATATAAACAGATGCTATGTATAGTTTACAGCCCCCAATATTTAATTGAACCGCGTTAAGGTTCGCTGACGAAGATTGGGATAGACCCAGTACGGAACCACAACTAGATTTTGTCATTATGCACGCCTTAACCCTGTTACCATTGGAAAACTGAAATATGTTGATACCAGGGATGGATTTAACAATATTGCCAGATCCAACATAGGGTTCTGACACCAAAGCTATCTAGAATTGGCCGGCCATAAAAGAGAGAATAAATTCATGTTGACTGTTCTTTGACTTACCTAAGTTACACTGTAATACTTCGAGTTTATTGGCTTGATCCATAATCTATACGGTTTATGATTCTTTCTTTTATGGCTCGCAGTCTGGGGCAATAAGTGGATGTAGCCTTATGTTTGGTATCAATTTTTGTGTTGAACTTGGTATTATGTGCGACACAGTTAATACATTGAGGGCAGTCCGGGTTATCTTTTTTAGGACAATTATCAGATTTGTGTGTGGTTGCAGCACAGTGACCACATGCAGTGTTTTCCGAGGTGCATTTATTCTTTGTGTGTCCAAACTGGTAACAATTATGACATTGCATAAATGGTGAAAATTCCTCAACGTGTATACGCTGATGATCGATGGATAATTTACTCATGCTAATGATTTTTCTCCAAACTGTGGGTTGAGATCGAAAGACTGCATTGTATAGGTTTGGGTTCCTGTTAGTGCGTTTAAAGCAAATTTTTAAATCATCCTGTGCCACAATGGTATCAGACAGTTCAGAATTTTGCATTTTAATAATATCCACTAATTCTTCAGCTGGGGTGTCAATAGAAATTCCTTTCAGAATTATCATAGGCCTAAGTTTTCGTGCGGGTTCAGCTGTCACTACCTCAGAATCCAATAAACGTGTTAGAGTTTCGTCACGCTGCTGTTCGTTATCAAACTCGACCCTTAATTTATTGTGTGACACAGTTTGAACGCGAGCCGGTGCATGTCTGATAGTACGAAAGCTGATACTTTTGCGCCAAACGTCAATCACTTCCTGCTTATTTTTTACGTCTGTTTTGGGGGTGATGATTATCGCTGGTTTGGTTGCAGGTAGAGTAGCCCTGTGGTTTTTTATCTTTGGTGATTGAATCGCATTTGATGAAGCAACTTGGGCGTAAGATGGTCGCCCCAGAGTAGTGCTGCTAACTGAGTTCTTGAAATTAGCCATTTCTTCACGAACACAAGTGATAATATCATTTTTGAGTTCCTCTGCGGGACTAGTCAGCGTGGATGTAATATTAGTAAGAACCAAGTTTGCTCTCCTTATTTCTTCGGATGCAACTGTGATAAGGCGCTTATTGGCTGTCGTGACACTCCTACCGTCATTGACCGCGTTCACAATGCATGCTACCAATTTATTACCAACTTCCGCATACTTAGAAACATTAGTGATTTCTTCTGCTGTCGCGGGCAAAATCGGCAAATCACTATTACCAGGCGCCATTATAATTGTATTTTACGTTATGTACAGTACAAGATATAAAATTAAGACGTTATGAGAAAGATTAAGCAAAAATATTGACAAAATATAAATTAAAATTGCAAAATTAACCTAAGTAATGAAAACAGGGAGGGTGGGGCGATTTTTTCAATTTCCGTGTGTTTTATTAAGAAAGTTTTAGTGCAGATGGCAGTTTCTACACGGGACGGACCTAACAGGAGCAAAAAGAGTGAATGAAATGAAGATTTGAAAAAATTTAAAAATTTTATGACTATAAGAAAACGAAAAATATGAAAATTAATTATTTAACTGTGAATATTTACAAATAAAACTATATGGGAATACGAGGGGCAATTAGTTACACTATTTAAATAGAAAATTTCAATGAAAAAGCTTAATTTTAAGCAAATTTATAGATGAATGTATGTTTTTCATTATGAATTTAGTACAATAAAATAATGAAAACAAGAAAATTAATTATATGACGGTGAAAATTTACTAATAAAACTATATGATAATACGGGGAGCAATTAGTTAAACTATTTAGAAAAGATTTGAACGAAAAAGGTCAATTTTTAGCAAAGTTATAATAAAAGTTCTATTTTCGACATGCAGGTTTCCTCACGATGTTTTTTTTCACCGCCGAGCACGTACTAAATCAGCACTTAAAATTGCAATTGACAATTTCATTGGTGCTGGCGGGGATCTAGCCCGGGTTGCTCGCGTACTGTGAAATTTACAGCGAGCGCTACCCATCTGAGCTACCACGGCTCGTCTTTTGATATTATAAGTTTAATATGCTATTCTTCAATGTAATGCAACGGAATGATAGATCGTTTTTTTCGTTTAGATTAGATTAAAACAAACTGCGGGAATGTCCTACACGATTGGCAGCCCCACCTATTAATGCTATTAGACGTTTTATAAATTTCTTTATAATATTTTTTTGATTAGTAATTAATGTATACCGTGTAGTACCGGTGTATATGTCCAAATAATATCCGCTACCCCACATCCAATGGGTGTCGTAAGAGGCGGTAGAGAGAACTCATATTCACACACTCCTTAATATACACATACTAATTACAAATTTTCTAGAAATTAAACTTTTTGCAATCCCCCTTTTTTGTAATCCTTAAGGGAAGTAGCGGGTCATTCCCAATACGAGTATCCTCTGATTACTCACTGGGAAGTCTCAGTATTATGTTGTTAACAAGGTTACCGAAATAAACGTATTATTTATTAGAGAAACAAATCAGGAAATGGGCGACAGCGTCTTCCTAATAACGATTAAAAATAAAAAAACTGCGGTTGCCAATCCGTTGGCCAAGCGTGACAACTATGGCAAATATACCGCCTATGAAGCAATTTATGGGGGAAGCCTATGTTCAGCAGTGGACCTTAACGGGCTGTAACGGTAATGGTGACGATAATAACCAGCTTGTGTATAAATTATCAAATAACAACACAAAAAAGCGGAAACAGAACTACATGGTAAAATGAGACTTGAATGAAGACCTTTTGTTTCGTTTTGTTCGGGCGATGACTGAACCATCACCATATCGTAGTAGTGGCCTTTTTTGTTCATTAGTTCTTCGTGGTTTCCGGATTCCACAATTTCTCCTTTTTTGAAGACATAAATGGCATCCACGTTCCTTATTGTTGAAAGCCTGTGAGCTACAACTATAGTTGTTCTACCTTTTTGAGCCTGTAATTTTAGAAATGCTTATAAAATATTTTGTAATATTTATTAAAAAAATTAAGTATTAGTAACGTTATTTCCATAACTGTCTAGTATCTCCATTTGAAATATTTAAGTTGTGTGTGAGAAGTTAAGTAATAATAAAAACCTTATCAAGCGCCTTTTGCACTTTGGCTTCCGAAGACATATCCAGAGCACTTGTAGCTTCATCCAAAAGCAGAATATGTGGATTTCGAATAAGTGCACGGGCGATAGCAATCCTCTGCTTTTGTCCTCCAGAGAGTGACGCTCCACGCTCGCCTACTAATGTGTCGTAGCCCTGTGCCACAAAGTAAGATTTTTCTAAGTTATTAGCACATTAACGGGATAAATCTATCAAATATTTTTATGGTGTCTCCGTCAGGGTGTTCTTACATGCGTCTTATATCATAATCATTATAGCCTCTATAGAATCTC